GGGGAAAAGGGTTCGTTCGGGAAAAGAGCAAGGGGGGATGACGTGCAAAAAGCGTTTACCCTCCCCTTTTTTTGGCTTTTTTCTCTCCTCGGATTGATAATACCAACTTCTGAGAGATGAAAAAGTGAGGATGCCCAGCAAAAGGAAAAGAAAAATATCCCCATCCTATTAAATCAAAACAAATGGCATGGCGCTTTGTGTGATACGAAATCTCGAAATTTTTTTTATTTCATCTTCCATCGTCTCCCTCCGATGTTCCAATCCTCAATAATCTTCGTCCCTTTTTTCTCCCCTCTCCGACCGGTTGTTTTTATCACCTGTCTTTCACTCTCCCCCTATGTTTTCTATCTGCTGTCTGTCCTCCGTCACCGCTGCGCTACACATGTTCTAAATATTAATGTCGTAACGTCTGGAATAATCTCTCTGTTTGCTTGGATGCTCTATGTAGCTTGTCTAAATGTTGCATATCGTACAATCTACATGTCTACCGCGTATCGTTGATCGAATTCAGAAGATGCCTATCTCTTAAAATCCCTTACATTCTTGCATTCTACAGTCCCGGTAGATACTTGACGTAGTTTGATTTGGGTTGATCATTGGATTGACCAAATCAGCATCAAAGGGCGTTCTCATCGGGGCTTCAGATTTGGCGAGACATAGGACATAGTACTTCTGGATGTGTGGACATTTTCATTTTTGACTGTCGGTGGAGCATAGCGTCCGAAGTAACTATCCGATGCCGATATATCTCTGTCAATGGTTGACGTATGCCGGGTAGATTGCTCACGATCTTATAGAAGACACATGGTTCAAGTTAATATATATTTTGGCGAAAGAAAGAATCAAAGAACAAACAAACGCTATATTAAATTACGATCGGAATTGATAATGGACAGGAGAGGAGGACTTTTGATTTTATATTCAGTTGCTTCACCAAGCTAGGTTAGGTAAATATTCATATTGGGTGAGATTCAATTCTGTTAATGTTAATACAGCCTATCGAAGACAAGACCGAACGCTCCATCAAAATGAAAAAGATAAGACCAAAAAAGATAAGATCGCTGAATAGTACTTATACATTATTCGTACAGAGGCCATTACTCCTCATCTGCTAGGACTGCAGCAATCGTATCGTAAACTAAGGTAGAATACAGAAGAGAAGTGAAAGCGTCAGTCAGGGTCATGGTATGCGTCTCGCCATGTGCGCCATTTTTTTTTCTTTTTTTTCCCAATGCATTGAGTTGATTTTCGGGTTGCTGTGTTTTGCAGGATTTTATTCATGGCTCATACGTTTCATATCATATCACATATATTTTCGTTGATTAGAGTCCTCGGAATGGAAGATGAGGGAGCAATGAGAAGAAAGAAGTTGCTCGCTTCGAGGTTCCATCGGTGCCGGTGGAAAGAGGGACAGTTTTGTGTTACCGTGTTCCGATTCTTTTTATACCTGAGCCCGGGTGATAGTGGAAGTACTATACCGGTCCATTGCCTTGGCAGGGATCTCTAAGTCGAAGGGATCGCTGCGTGTACTGGCTCGCGTTACTGGCTCGGTTGGCGAATAGAGTCCCAGTTCGGCTGCCGATGCACCGTAGCTGAACCGCCGGAGGCTACTCCCGGAGCTGCTACGCCCCGGAAGAATGATGGTGCTGCCTAAGCTGCGATCGCTACCGTACATGGATCCTTCGTCCCGCATGAAGGGAATACCAGGGCGTCGATGGCTATCCGAGGAGGCGAAGGATAAAGGGAGAGATGCGGGCCGACGAGGGTAGCTGGCCCGTCCTGTGCGCTGATGGTCATCGAGGAACGGATATCGAACTGTGTTTTTAATGTGGTAGGCGTTTTCCCGCGATGTCGGTAGGATTTCATCCGAGTCGGAGAAAGGATCGCAGTAGTGATTTTGGTGTTGTTGGTTAGAACCATGGTGGCCATCGTAGCTGGATATTAGTGGTGCATTAGGTATGAAATTGTACAGTGAACTGTTTGAAGAAGTCTCAGACACATTTGAGGCAGCGGACCGGTGATCGTGGTATAGGCCAGTCGCGGAGTCTGGTGATTGGCGGCCTTCGTGCAGCGGCTTTTCACTGCCCCTGACACTTTGGCCGCCTTTCGATTTCCGTCGGTTACGGAGTATGAGAAGACATATCAAAAGTGCAAGGACGAGAAACGCCGTTGCACCCAGTACGCTGCCCAGGATGGTACGCAGTGGGACACTGTCATTGTTGTCCTCGGATGACGCTGGAGTTTCTCGAAACGAATGAGTCTGGGAAGGAACGCTTCCGGTGGTTGTTGAGACTAATGTAAAGGAGGTGGTGGCATTGACCGGAGGTATGGTTGTATGCACAGGGATTGTCGAGCTATATGAAGGAGAGGAGAAAGTTGGTGTTGAGTGGGATGACACTGTGGTGGCATCATAGATAGTATCATGGGAAGATGGCCGGATGTCTGTATTTACTTCATCCGGGACAGAACTGGCGGGTGCTAACGACGGTTTATTTAGAATGGCTGTAATGACCGTAGCAGCCGTTGTCGCCGTTGGAGTGACGGTCACCGGTGCAACATCCGCTTTTTGTGACGTCTGCGAGGCAGTTGTTTCACCAGCGGGTGGTGGTACCTTGATATCGTATGTGCTGGAAGTGGCAAAGCTATTGAACAAAGGCTCAACCAGTTGTGTGGGAGCCAAGGTTTCACCGAATACATCAGATGTCGACGAAGTCAGGGAAGAAGTTAGGGTTTGCAAGGAGGTGGTTGACGGCGTTACTTCTGCCGATTTCTTGTGGACTTTGGTACATTGTAGCCCATGATGAAAGATCACCGCAGGGCTCGACATTGACATGTCGCCTAGTTCGGAAGGAGGCTTTGGACGTGACAAATGTCGTAGCTAAACCGAGGAAGGGAGAAGGCAGAAAAAGCTGCACAGCATGAGGAAGAACTAAGGGGGCTGTAAGACTAGATATCACAAGGCGTTTGCACGGTAGACCGGGGTGTCTAAGCGTCGAGTCGACAAAGTAATCAAGGAATGACTGTGAAAGGGATTAAGCAACGAAAAACGAATGAAAGGTCTTCACAATATGATCAAAGAAGGGAAATGTGAGCATGCTAATTCAATCGCATTGTTTTTTCTTCGAATCTATGAGGGGCAATCACCAGACTAAGCCATGACAACAGGTGTCTAAGGCGTTTTTGGCCCACGTCGACTGTGCCGTTTCAGGAACAGATGGTGAGGCAGAAATGGCACAAGCATGGGATTCGATCACGTTGGCAAGTAAGTATATATTGACAGACAAGCGAGGAAGACAGGGATGAGAAAACGGCCCAAAAAGATAAAAACAAAACAAAACAAAGAGATCGTAGAAAAATAGAACAGGATGGGTGAATTGTAATTAGAGGGGAGATAACGAAAAAAGGATAAATTTGCTGCTCATCCAGTCAGGGCGCTTAGAGTCCAATGCGGAGGGACGAACTGGTCTCCATCATTCGGTGAAAGGTGAAGCAGGGGATGGGCAATTTGTTGGCTCGAGGAACCCACCGGGGAAATATATGAAACAAAACCCATCAAGGAGATCCAATCCCTTGTGCAGAACAACCTGCGACGATGGGCGGTGTTAGTTTCTTGCATGGAGGGAGGGGAACCCCTTTGGCCCCTCGCGCCCCCATCCGAAGGAGATCAGCCATGAAAAACAGTTTATCAGCAAGCTCAAGGATGTGGGATGGAAATTTATCACATTCCACCGATGAACCTCGTATGGATGGGCAGAGGGAAGTGATAGAGTTAGAGTTAAAAGAGAATGCAGAAGGAGAGAGAGAGGCCTCGTTGGGAATATTACAATGCTGAATAAGTGAATCAGAGGATAAGCTAGGCCAAGACGGAATTAGCGCGAACTCCCCTCGGAAGACCCGGTCATGTGAGATGATGACTGATCCAGCTATTCGGCACCGGGCCGACGATCCCCTTTGGGATGCCTCATCGGAGTCCGCTGCGATGAAGTTCAACCTTCAAACAATCCTAAACAAGAAAACAAGATGGAAGACTCTGTCTACGAAAACCATGCTTGTGTCCCATGTGCCCTCTATATTCTCGATGTTGCACTCACCCTCCAAAGTCTCAACCGGACACTTCAGGACCAGCCAATCTGAACCGTCAGGGATCATCAACTTTCCACTCCACTTGACCTCAGCTAGCGACAATCCTGGTGGGCCCCTTCGCTTCCGCTCTTCTGAATGGGTGTTGACCGTCTAAAGCGGAGGGCTGCAGGTTGCAACTGCATACCAATTACGTATCTGGTGGTCCGCCCATTGAGCGATGATACAATAGTTAGTAAATGTGGTCTCTCACCTGCGATTTGGGATGTATAACGGGGGCCAAGGTCAACCCAAATTTGGATGTCACTGCTACCACGGTATCTCACACCTTGTCATGGCACTCTAATTCCGAGGACTGATAGGAAATCATAGGATCCTGTCCGGTAGCCTTAACCGTCTCCATCGTCGAGCGTCAACACTAGGGCCGGCTAGTCCGCATATTAACAAGACGCCAAGTTGAACAGAACCAACGGCCGATGGCCTTCTCATTCTCCCCTCTTCTCCTCTCCGCGCCTTTTTTTTGCTTCCCCCCTCTCAGATCATCTGTCTTTCTGCACCTCATTTTGCGTGGCGATACCTTTTTGGGAGTTGGTGATTTTTTCGTCCTTTTTCTTTTTCTTTTTCTTTTTCTTCCTACTCAATTTTGAGTCCGGAGCGAACCCTGGTAGTCGCTGAAACCCCCACCGCCGCCTGGTTGCCCTTAGTCCTCACCTCGATCATCTTCTCTCAAGACTGACCTACTCTATTTGATTTATTGACAGCTGCACAGCCCATGTGATCACTCCATCTTTTTTGTTTCTGATCGCGTCTGATTGAATTCACGGCCTTGGTGCTTTTTGTGATCTATATACTCGAGTTATCCTCATTACCAGCCTTAGTAGAGATCGAGTTTAGTCCTCCTCTCATAAGATCATCGTATCATGTTCGGATGGGGCGGTGGAATTGGTAAGGCTTTCTTTTCCTCTCTCTTAGCAACGTTGCTCCCCCACTCTGCTTTTCCAACTTTATCCGCCCAAGTCACGGTCACGATGTGGTCAATAATGTGAAGAATTCCTTTGCCACAACATAAATGCCATAAGCTTATGCTAGTCCGGGATTGCCCCCTGAAACGGTCGCTGCATACTCCATACTCGATGATGAGCTTACAGCTCTCCCCGGCCATGGCACGTTGTACAGCCCCTCGACCTAAGCTTGTGAGGTTTCATCTGCCTATTGATCGGCATGAAATGACCAAATTTTTCTACTTTACGCATTGTCTTCCGAGTTCTAGATCGAGTCCATGAAAATAAACCCATGCATTCTCCTACTAACTGTCTATGCAGGCCTCACGCCCGTGGGCTGTGAGCCTGAGAAAGAACGCCGGCCCCCGTCGGCCCCAACGAGCTTGGATTTCCCTGTCCACACCTCGGATACGACAGGAAACGAGCGTGAATCATCATTGAGGGAAATAGGAAATATCCTCGGTTTAATCAAAAGGCCGCAAGATATTTCGGCCGACAAGTTCGAAGCTTTCAATCTGAGGGTAGAGCATGATGTCCCTGCCTCGGCTATCGTTCGGCAGGATATCCCCAATTCCTCCCCCCTGTTGCCGTGGGAGGACGACTCCCCAAATCCGTCGCCGTCAACAGAAGATGGATCCCCTATCCTGCTGGAGAACGGTAACCCGTATCCGCCGAAGGAGAGATTCGAGGTGCTGAAGGACGAGCTGCTTCTTGACAACGACGATGCCTTCCGAGAGGTCGGTAGGCTCCCCCCGCGGGAAGGCCGCCAAAGGGTCCGGGTGACGCAAGCGAGAAAATTCTGGATGGGGTTGGAACGCATGTCGCAATACTGGGACTCGAGTTTAGACCGCTATTACGAACGTCCTGCAACACCTCGAAGCAGCACGCCACAGGCAGGCTCCGAGGATACTATGCAGACAGATGACAAAGTGCAGCCACCCCAGACCGAGAACCAGGCGGGCAATGATCCGAAAGAGGGACAAGCGGAAACCGTGACGATGTATCAAGGTCGACGTATCGGAGCTGGACATGAGATGCCCGAAGACGTCCGCGAGGAGACGATTCGAGCGTTGACTGAAATGGCCGCTTGGCCCTTCGGGTGCCAGATAGCCCTTCCTATCATGCCTCCGCGACTCACCCTCGGCACGCTTCTTTTCCCCATTCGGCAGACCTTCGAGGTCGCCCGATCTCCCAAAGATCGACAATTGGCCCGAAGCGGTGTCATGGAAGGACCTCTACTTGCAGCCCAGTGCCGACCCGAAACCTCCTTTCGAGCACCGCAAGAAGCTGCGGGGTCAGGCCTTGGGGAGGTGTGCGATCTCTTTCGAGAATTAGGAAGCATGCTCCTGGCTGCCCAAGAGCGACTGCGCCAGGGGTCGGTTGAGGTCAAGCCTGGCGAGGGGAAGTGGTGGACGATGACCCCCCGGTGGGGCGGCGCCTTCAACGACGTTGTGGGTGACAGTGGCAATTTTAGCCACGGCGAGGACACGCCTCTCCTAGATCTTGGAAATGCTCGCAAACGATCGAAATACGACCATCCGTTCTTTGCTCCCCGAAGACCAAATGGTGCGCGCCGACTGAGCAACGCTGAGAGGTGGAGACTCGTCCAACCAGGGCCTAGTCTTTGGGACCGACGGATGAGGTATATTCAAATCGGGAAGAGCAATGACTGCGCTTTTGACGATGTAAGTCACCGCGAAGAGGAAGATTTCACAGAACGAGTCGACTAATCCGAAGCGACATCGAACAGATCTACATGCTATCCTCGATAAACCACCACCTTGCCATTCTGCACTTGCGCGTTCATCGTCGGTACATTGAGGTATTGACAGCTGGCGACAGCGACTTCCCCCCAGACTCCGACACAGAGGATCATCCGTGGCATGTTCTCAAGATGCGGCGGACCAAGTGGTATGATCTGTTCGATGCTCAGGAGCGTCTGGAGGTATTCAAGGGAATATGGACCATATTCCATTACATGCTACGTCGGCCTTGAGATTTTATTCGTCTTTCCACCTTATCTAGCATTGTTTTGTCTTTACAGCCACGTTCTCTCAATGAAAGAACTTGTCATATAGACTGGTATTCCCAATCATGTTGTTCACCTTTAATCTGATCACCCTACTGATCTCACTCGTTCAGGCGAGCCGGCGCGTCGGATCAGTTGAAGTATATAGACAGGACTACAATCCGTGCAGCAGAATCAGATGAAAGCGCCATTGCAACTGCATGTTTGAAGAATAGACCGCGTAAATCTCGGCTTGCTTCCTCACAAACTAGCCATCTCAGAACTCGAAGCTCTTTAATCCACAACACGAAAGACTTGGAAATCTTTTCAAGGACCTACCTTTCTCCTTGCCTAAGAGCTCCAGTTGTCCATACCCCTACCGCTGTCAACAGACCATCGCTACAATTGACAATTCAAAACCAATTCACACAGAACTATCCTACCCCTATTCAATCGAGTCTCAGAGAATCCCACCCCCTTTCCAGCATACGGTTGGATGGCAGCCAGCCAACCGCTCTCCTAAGCGCCGTACAACCCGTCCCATCCCTCTCTCCCTTCAAACCTGCTCCTTTCTCACCCCTTCCGATTGCCAGATCGCGACGCCATGATTGGCAAATCGACGAAACGAGGTTTTTATGATCTGATTTCAATCGAGTAGACATATGTGCTTCTCCACACGAGTCTTTTCCTGCTTTCTTCCTCACCTTGTAGTTAGAGTAAACTCGACCAGTCGATTAGGTGGCCGATGTGTCCTCGGCTTGAAGATCTAGGCTCGAGAATCTAGGTCCTTACGTGCAGGACCTGACTAGTTTTCAGGGATGCTCGCTGAATAGAATGTGCCTATGGATGTTATATCCGTACTCCGTACTCTACTTTGTCTATGTAGGGAAGTGCCACATTCAAGCCCTCCACCTCTCCCTGTCATTTCCCTTGTCCGTCTCGTTTGCAATTCTGTCAGTCTGTCTACACTGCCCCCCGTTGCATTTTACCGGCTAACTTACCTGCCTACCTACCTAGGTTATCCACAGGGCAATCCAGTGAGGTAGCGACTAGAGTCATGCGCGTTAAGGGTCCAAGCTCCAGTTCTATCCACCACGTCTCCCTCCAAAAGGATCCAGTCGTTCTTATGTTGTACACAGACATAACTATACTTTATACAACCGACAAGTGGCATCAACCGACCTGCAGAGGTAGAGGTGCTGTCAAAGAGGTATGCATGTATGAACTTCATCGTACATCACTAGGTACCCCAGCCGCCAAAGCCGAGGGAAACGCCCATTTTCTTTCTTCCTTCCTTTCTCTTCTCCCTGCTTCGGCGTGGAGTGCATATGTGTATGTGCGTGTATACCGACCTGGTGCATACATACCTGCACATATACGTGGATACATACACGGCAGCGGGGGCTGCGTTTGCAGTTGTGGGTTTCCATGTCTCGGTGTGGCCGAGTCGGTAGTGCCTAGGTAGGGTAGGTGCCTACGGAGTACGGAGAACATGTCTTTTTGATTCATTGGGTTGGTGGAGATGTGTCAGTGTCACTACCCAAGTTATCTATTAAAAAAGACATAATTAATACGATCCAGATTGTTCGCCTGGATATCAGGGTATACTTACATGTCTATAAGATATGATTGTGTATGAATGGGGAAATGTAGTAGGTACCTACCTACCTAGATATGTACCCATTGTGTTTTGCTTGTATTGTCTTTCTCTTTGTGTTTTGTCTATGGTATTGTGAAATAGATATTGTCCAGAGGAATATCCTATTCGGTATTAGCAACAACGAAGTACATACATACAGACATGCAGAGATCGTTTAGGTAGGTTGGTAGGCAGGCACCTACAGAGTAGCCGTACTCCGTGCTCCGTACTCCGTACAGTGTAGACACTTATCGATTAGGTAGTTAATTATTGTGGATGATCAAGTTAGTGAGCTACTATGTTTATCTCCGCTGCTGGCCAGCCTCACTTTTCTCTAATCGATCAGCTCCCGTCCCTGGAGCCGATGGAGTGAAAGGCACCTACCTACCTAAACTACCAACTAGGGTGGTATACGGACGAAAATGGCAATATCGAACGCAGATTGGAGAAAACTGCCCAGCGAACAGACCGCCGGATCAACCAGTCAGGATGCTCCGTGCAGTGAGGCTCCCGAAGGTTTTCTGATCATCCCACACACACACCCTTCAGATCCCCCCCGGACGGACGTCTGTGCGTGGGGATAGACATAGGCACATACTGCATCCATAGAAGACCGACAGGCAGACATACAGGACCGAAGAAGAAAAAACAAGTTCATGTAGTTAGCCAGGCGGTGCAACCGACGATAATCGGAGATGATCTCCGACAACAAACGAGAGTTGTGGGTTTTGAGGGAGAAGAGAGAGGGGGGAAAGAGCAAAAGTTGGGGGGGGCAGAAAATGCAAGAAACATGGAAGCGACAGAAAAACAAGGCGGGAGAAATTATTCGATATGGCTGCCTTGCATCAACATGGCTCCACAATCCACACCTAGCTGCTCATATACCCCGTATATGAACAAGGTATCCCCTCGTCCGTCCGGGAAGCACAATTAGCGTATTTTACTAGCGTATACATGGCAACGCGTCCTAATTGGCTAA